TTTTATTAACATTATTATATTAATATTATACAAATATACAATATTAGTACTGCTATAAGATATGATTGACATATCATATATTACAAAGTAACATGTAGTAATAATATTTATGTATTATCTATAATTTATTGCATTAAATATTATATTTTATTAAAAATGAAGAAAATAAAGATGAGCAAGTGGGTACCGCCTTGCTGTTCAATAAGTGTTAATTGGATTACTATAATGGGTATATTAAATTTGAATTTACGATGTATCCTTGTATATAAAAAACAATTCTGAATGGAGATGGTCTATATCACTGAGTATATTTCATAATATGTTTTTCAATATCGTTATTACTTATTAGTACTTTGTGTTCAAAAATAAAAAAAAAATACTAAAAAAAAAAATAAAAATAGAAAAATAGAAATTTTTTTTCAAGATTAGTTTGTGATGAAATCGAATTTGTTACTTTATAATAATATAAAATACAACATTAAGTCTCCACTTATAATTTTTTTGGACTATAAAAAATAATTAACATTGTTATTTATCATTAAAATTGATATCGTCTAATTTTAACTTCAAATCCGAGTTCCTGGTTTGTGTTTTTTAATATTATTGTTTATTACAATTTAATGATGTAAAAAAACTAATTTTTGTTTTAAAAACTTACTAGGTATCTTTCATTTTATAATCAGTTAACCATAAAACATTTTAAAAAAATCGAAGAAAGTCATAACAATATAGTAAACAGTCTATAGTAGGATTAAATTATGTATTTTTCTTACGTCAATTTTATTATTTATGACATATGTTTAGGTGTATAAATTTGGTTATAGCTATATTGTTTTAGCAGTTAAAAATTTACTTTGCGAGTTTGTGAGTAACTAAGTTCCATATTATCTTATATTAGGTTTTTTTTTATGACTAATAGTATAAATAATCTTAACGTTATATTGTTTCATTACTGACATTACAGTCGATTTCTCTACTTTCAGCTTAACTTAAAAAAATAAATGTTTCTTAGTTGACATATGGTATGTTTATTAATTACATCAATAGGCAGAGCTTAGCTTTTCCTGAAGCAAAAATATATTAGTATTCGTATACATCATCGTTTGAGCCCCATATTGTTCTAGGTTCGGGTCGTGGCACCCATTTTGCTTTCTCCTTATCATACAATACTGTTTAATGTTTTGCTTTCTCTCACATGTGAGTATCTATATGACCTATGGTCATGAACGGATATTCGTTTACTGTATATGTAAGTGTTGTCATGGTTCATTTGTTTTCTGTTTGTGGACGAGAAATCAGTCCTTAGTCTATATGCATATGGTCAGCAAGTTAATATTGACTTATTCCTCTTTACTATACTACCTTAATTTTAAACGTTTAGAATAGTATTCTGAACGTTATTATAAATTATTGTTAATAGTTATTTTTATAATTATTAAGTATTTCATAAGTTAACCATATTATTTCATAGCTAAATTTCAAATTCGCAAGTGGTTGAATTATTGCTTAATAATTATGTGAATGTTTAAAACCGATGGTTTAATAATAAGTAAAATTTTTCAATATCTTAAATTTTAATTCTAAACATGAATAAACTTGTGATCTACAATTTTAATGATACTTTATTTTTTACATTATATACCATAATGTATTTAATTAAAGAGCAATAAAATTAATTTTTGTTTAATAATAAAAAAATTTTAATTTTTTTAATTCATGTCGTTTTTAAAAATTTCAAATTTTAATACTTTATAATAATAATTAGTTTTTTTTAGAAATTTCTTGGATATTTAACTAAGGACCATCAAATTTAATATATTTATAAATATAAATGCACAATAGATTATACAGGTAGGATAAACTATTATTTTAATTTTAAATTATAAATGCTAAATATTATAAATAGTAACTTGTGTTATAAGATGTGTTAAAAAAAGTTGCGTAAGTAGGACGCTGTATTGAATTTAAATTCAATATAGTGCATTATTGTATATACAAAAAACGGTTCCGAGCAGAGATAGTTTGTCAAGTAATATTACTAATTTACTGATTTATTATTTTATAGTGTTTAATTATTATAATAGTGTATATTTATACCATATTATTAAACTTATATAACTTCAAATGTAATAAAATCTTTCTGTAAATACCGTAAATCAGTAAAAATAAATTCATATGATAAATATTAACATTTAAAAAAAATTCAAATATACTTATATCATTTTGTACAGAAAAATTTGTAAAAGTTTTAGTTCTCACGAATAATACTTTTAAATTATAATAAAATAACGATTTTACGTTATTTATTGTATAAATAAGTAATTTGGTCCAAATTTAAACAAATGTCAATAAAAAATAATTGCTTTTAAATATTTTCAAGCATTTTAGTATTGATATGAACTTTTTATGAGAAATCTTGCATTACATTTTCAAAAATTTTGACCCAGTGAATAATTATTTACAGAAATTTATTGAAAAAAAAAACTAAAAAAATTCAAAATGTCTGGTGTTTACAAGACCATAAACTCCTCAAAAAAAGATAAAATATTTTAAAAATTGTATCAAGTACCTATTTAAGAAATATTAATATAAATATTTAATAAAAATTTCAAGTGTTTATATTTTGTTCGATTTTAGATTATAAAAAATTAAAAATCAATTTTTTTAACAATCTTTACTAATTAATAATTTATTATTAAAGTTAACGGTGATTTGAATAAGACTAATCTTATTTTATTGAGTACCTACGTTATCTATAATACAAGTGATTAATTAAATATTATACTTTTGAGTCAGTTATTGACCCAGTTTCAATAATTCAATTTTTATACAGATTATTATGTTGCATAATTTTATTTAACAATGTAATTTATGCGTACAACTAAATCATAATATGTAGTTTATTTGAAATGTTAGGTTGAGATAGGTCATACATGTATAATACACAACTATATAGGTATCTAAAAACCGCTTAAAAATATTTCCGCGAACTGTTATTGAACTTTTATTATTACATATATATTATACCGCCCCGCGGGGATAATGACACACATAGAATGTTGCCCAACACTGGCAACACTACTACGCTATAATAATGTATAATATAATATCTCCGCGGAAATGTATCTTATATGTATATTATATACATATATATATATGTGTGTGTGTGTGTTTGTGTGTGTGAAATAATATAGGCTCGGATAACTAGTTTTAAAATAAAAACCCGTTCTGAATGTGTAAGGAAATTGTGAAAGTAGTTTGTCGCCTTTACTACAAACTTTACGATCTTATTTTATGTTTTTAAAACTGTCGCTTTCATTCGAATGTATTTAATGAATACCTTCCACCCGTGGGTCATGACCCTGCAGTGCTACACACTAGGGAGAGGTTAAATTAAACATTTAGTTAAAAATATTTTGTTTATAAATATATGAATGTTCATTGGTGGACTTCTATTGTGTCTATAGTGATTAGCCCGCCTTTATTTTACGAATTGCGCATTAAGTCAAAACTTAAAAATAATGCTCTGTTACGTACTTTGTAACGTTAAGACTAAACATATTATTATTATTATTGTTGTTATACACGATGATAATTATTTTTACCCATGCTATAAGTCCGATACCGACAAAATATCTCTCCTATACAACAATCGATTCTTACAGGAAAATTGTTTCTAATAGGTAACAAGTAATAGTAGAAAACAATTTATTTCTATAACTCTTGTTCTTTATATAATATAGGAGTAGAAAGGAATTGATAAAATTTATTTTAATTTACCATAGTAACTTAAGTTTATGACGTTAAATTCTAATTGAATAACATATTTTGAATATATCTCATTAAAACTATTAAAAACGAGAGTTGATCTATTCGTTTCGTATAAACCAACTACCAAATGATATAATATAACTAAAGATGTTCTGTTATCAGATTTTATAAAATGTAATAGTCAATAAAATAATCAAATTCAGCGTTTATATTATATTAGATTTGTTAATACTTACTACTTATAGTTTATCATAATATAATATATAAAATTGTTTTTAAAAATCATACTTTTTGATTAGTTATTATCTTGTGACACCATTAATTTAAATTAATAATAACTATCCATTTTAACGATTGAAAAAGACGTATTTAAAAAAATGAACATTTTATGATGTACGATTTTAATATAGGCGTTACCTTAATAAATATTTGAATGATACTTATAGGCTCGTGAAACAAATAATTATTATAGCTCCCTAACTTGCGTCTCTGGTTATTATTGTAATGAAAAATGTCTGCAACTTATAAAAACATAGAATTATAATGCCTTAATTTCATAATGTATTTGTTTATTTAATATTTTAATATTTTAAATTAACTGGATAAAATGTTTAACTTGATTGTTAAATGTAGTTATATATATATAGTGTATTTCCTATTAACTATAATAGTATAATGCTATATACTTTAGTCTATATGCTTAGGCTATATTTACTATAACTATTTGTTATAATATTATGTTTATTGACCTTTTAATTGTATTTAAAAAGATTATTATTATATCTTATAAGCATGGGTTATTGTGAGTTATGAGTTATGACTAATATATTAAGAATATAAATTCTATAAAGTGTAATAGCTAACTTGAGTCATATTTGTTTGCTCGAATCTGTTCGATTGCATTATAGTACATACATAGTAGATTGGATTATTGTGGCTTAATATTACTCGTTTTTTCCATAAAAAAAAAAAAAATAATAATATTAATAGTTTATAGTTATGTATTTAGTTATACATTAGATATATTTTTGATCATATTGCTTACTAGTAAATATGGCCTAAATGATGTACGTTGTTTAAAAATAGTGTTAATATAAAATTTATTATCTATGTGTATATTTTTTTATTCTATAGACATCAGATTTTGGGTTAGGTTAGGCATAATGTTTAAAAGAAAACACTTACGAAACTTTCTTTGTAAATTTAATGTATAATTAATGAATTTTTAGGCTTCAACAATTGACGGTCGACGAAAAGGAGCATGTCTATTTTGTCAAGAATATTTCATGGATCTATATCTACTAGCCGAATTAAAAACCATCAGTCTTAAAGTGACTACAGTAGATATGCAAAAACCTCCTCCTGATTTCAGGTAATTTTATTTATAATGATATTTAATGTGAACATAAACAAAAATGTTAATTTAATAAATAGTTTTGATTTATGAAATAATGTTATTTATCTTAATCAGTTGACTAAATCTTACACAATTATGCTGTAATGTGATCAAATACATAAGACACATCGCAATTTGTATTATATTATTGGATCTTCGCCGTTAAAATAAAAAGTAATACTACATTTTTGAAACAATATTGACCAATAGCCGATGTTGAACATTTATATTCAATTTTGTACAACTTATAAATTATTTACTTTTATAACGTAGGTATACAATATAGGTTGTATACTATTTGTAAACTGCTTAAATCGTTGTTCATATAAATTCGAGTTTTACAATAATTTATGTTTTTTCTTTGTTGTCTGTCATTATATTTTAGAGTAAATAATTTTTTATAGTCTTCAGTTATTGAGCTACATTTTGGTAAAAAAATTGATCAAGTTGGTACTTTGTGGTGTCAAAAATAAAAACTATCAGCTCTTAACTTCTAGTACTTATTAATTAAGAATTTTATAGACAGGATATAATTTTGAAAAAATTATTCTTTTTAATGTATATAGAAATATAGCTATTTATACTTGATAGACATATGCAATATTCCACTTTTTCTAATTATATTAATAAAATTATAGTTTTTCTGTCTAAAATCTTGAAAAATTGGTATAAAATTCTTCTCTTATTTTTCTTATAGTAATTTAAAAATATGTTAAAATAATAAACAAAACTTTTAGATTATTTTAAATAAATTTTGCAAAATAACAAAAATATTAGATTGGTCAATTCATGTTTTAGTAATGCTGAACCAAAATGCTGAAACAAAAACGTACGACGTATTTAATTCCTTAAGTGCTTCTTGATGAACAATAACATTTTTTTTTTTAATCATCAGATTTAAAATTTGTGTGTGTGTGTGTGTGTTGTTTAATTAAATAATCATTTGAAGTATTTTAATGAAGTTTAACCAAAATTAAACGCCCTACCATGGCACATTCAATTGTGCTAATATAGATTCCAATAATTTCATTATAAAAGTATTCATAAATATTCAGAAATTGTTTGATCTCGAATTTTATTAGGTTTTTATGTATAATGTGATATTTATTATTTTTTAGGAGTAACTTTGATGCAAATCCTCCACCAATTTTAATAGACAATGGAATGGCTGTTTTGGAAAATGAAAAAATCGAAAGGCATATCATGAAGAACGTGCCAGGTGGATACAATCTATTTGTACAGGATAAAGAAGTGGCCACGCTGATTGAAAACTTGTACAGTGTAAGTTAAACTATATAGATGGTCCTAAATCATTTAATAGCTTGGTACACATATATATCTGGCGTGATTCCTAAACATCAACCAATTTACTTTCCATTTTGTGTCATTTATTATTCGCTAAGAAGCTAAGAAATGATTCATGCAATAAAAAAGTAGTTTATCTGGTTTTTGTTTCTTCTCTTTGTACTATGTGTATATGTGAATTGCAATTTCATTCCTCTGGGATAAGGATCATAAGTTCAATAATTCTATAAAAACTGTATAATTCATAGTAAGCATCGGTCTCCCGCATCATTGGACAATACACAATGCCTGTTCCTGTATAATATACGTATATTATCATGTTTTAAAACTAACGTGATAAGATGATATAATTGTATACTATATATTTATGGTTCATAAAGATGAAATATATTCATACGAGTACGTCATATTTATTTATATTTACGTTGTAAAAAAAATAGTACTTATGTTAATATGAAATCGTGATAATGTATAAAGTGATAAAATCGTTATGGCCAGTCTAAAATAAAGATGATGCAGATTATTTTTACTTTTTGACTGATATTTGAGTTTTGGCATTGGGTTATATACGCTTTATATTTGAGAAGATATTATCATCATCTACATTGTTTGAATAATGAATGGCCATGCCAAAAGTTGTCCAGCTGAAGAAATGAACTACATAAATACTTCTAAAAACATTACATGTATATATGTACTATGTATATATATTTTGATTTTAGTATAATATTAATAATACTATATACACTATACAACACATATATATTATATATACAAGGTAAAAAAAATCAACAATTTTAACTTATTTTATTGGTTTCGTCTATATAATATATACTCTGTTAGTTTAATTTTGAATAAAATAATTAAACTATTGCTTTTTATAGTATAAATTCCTATGACAAACGACATCATGTGAATTATTTGTAAATTTTATCGTTATGCGAAGGTCGTAATATTTACAAAATGCCAGAGGTACCCTTTTAGTTTAAATACTTAACAAGGAAAATATACTCAATCGTTTGTCTAACACTCTGACGATGTGACATCTGCAAGTGTTCCTTGTATGGTAAGCAAGCAATCGACATGTAAACATAATATGTTACTCAGTGAATTTTACTGTCAATAAAGCTCTCTAAGAGAAGTGATACCTCTCTCTCGTTCACTTGGAACACGTCGATCATTAGCTTTGGTTGTAGAAATATGCTATTTCCCCACAACCTGTTGTGAAGATTGTTTAACGCTGTTTGAACAATGCGTCAATTATCTAGAATGCGTGTATAACTTAGTTAAACTACAGCCCTCGATTTGTTTCGAAACGACATTCATTTTAGATTATGCATTCGTTCATTCCGACACACGAACCTACGTACTGTGCATACGCATACGCATATATACATAGTGTATGTATGAAAGAGAGAGAGAGCTATAATGTTTAAAATGACGTTCGACCTAAATAGTAATATCTTTGTTATTTCAACTTGTTCAAATACTTCTCCCCTTTATGGGCCTCAATTATACAATTGCATTTTAAAAAACTAAACTCAGTTCTAAATTTTATTGGAATAATTTTTTTTTTTTTATTCAGCATGATATTAATGTTGATTTGCATATCTTTGGTAAATTATTAACCTCAACATTCAATTTACCGTATTATTAAATAATATTATTTTAATAACATAAAATAAGTTTTTTCTCGTATTAAAAGCTACATTTTATATAGTTACAATTTGATGCAATTTATATGTTCACTAATCCTATCATTGTCTCAACAAAAGACAGTAATATGAGTAAAAATATAATATAAAAAATTTAAAAAAATAAAACACTAAGGTTCATCATTTATTGGCGTTTATGTTTCAATTTTCGTCACATAGATATTTCAAGTATTATACGTCTTTCTTTAAAAAAAAAAAAAAACATACTCACGTATTTTACTACCTAAGTAATTTTTTTTCTTGAAACTAACATAGTTTGTATTTTTCTGAGTACCTACTTAAATTATTATTTTAATAACAATATTATGGACATATTTGTCATAATATAAAGGAAATATGATAGTCAACAACTTATAGCGTTCTCTAATTTTGCATACTGTCGTATAATTGAATAAGTGTATAACTAAAATTTAGAATTTGATAGTTACTGACAGCTAGTTACTAAATTCGAACAATAAAAAGAAATAGTAATAATAATTTTAATAATGTTGAGTTACGCAGAAAATTAAAAACTATCAATTTTCTATTGAATATGGAGTTTTGTTTACAATAACGCAACAACTATATACTAATTGTATGCTATTAAATATTTTATAACATACGTATGGACTTGTATATCAATTCATTAAATATATATTTTTTTAGTTCTAATTAATAATAATTACGTTGTACCAATGCAGGTATTTTCTACATGAGTGAGTATACTTAAAATGTGGATTCTCGTCGGACGTCGTTAATTCATAAATTTATAAGTATTCAATTTAATAATCAAAAAGTATTCATAATTTTGTATTAAATAAGTATGAAACCCATTGCTATGCCGACTGAAAAAAAATGTTGTACATAATAGTATATTATAGTATATATAAAAACATTATAATTTGTAATTTTAGTAAGCAGTGGTGGAATAATGTTTATACCTATAATATATATAATATGAAACAGCTCTTAAATTATTACAAATAAAATTTTATTATTTAAAATTTAATTTTAACGTATTTCAATTTAATAAACTAGAAGTTGTCAAATGGTTAAAATGATTAAGCCCAATTTAAACTTGAAATATTTGTCAGAGCAAAAAATATATATTTAAAATGTAATTTATATTCTATACAATAAAAACAAAACAAAAATTCTGTAATATATTTTGTGAATCTATATTTTTTTCTATTTGTGCTAATTAATAATTACACTTTTACTAATTAATGCATAGTTGGTTTTTTACCTATTCGCCATAATTACTTATTACGAGTATAATATTGTTATTTTATGTGATTAGATCAATTTCAAATACTTCAATCGACTATTATTATTATTATCATGTATCAATTGTATAGTATAACTTTTGCGATTTACAGAAGCTGAAGCTGATGCTATTAAAAAAAGACGACGTAAGCATAAATAGCCTGTTGTCTCACTTGCGTAAAATAAATTTGCATTTAGAGAAGAAGAACACTCGGTTTTTGACTGGCGACACAATGTGCTGTTTCGACTGCGAGTTGATGCCTCGTCTTCAACACATCAGAGTAGCTGGTAAATAACAATTACACCATTGTCGTATCTATACAATATTGTTTTGTAGTGTTAGTACGCATTTAAGAGTCGACAATCGGCTCCTATTTTTATTTTTATATATTTACTACGACACAATAATGTTTACTATCGAATAAATGTATTAGGTTAAGTATAGGTGTATATTATAATATAGATACTGAACAAGATATATATATAAAAAGGATTCTGTTTATTGGTGCACAATTTATATTAACATGAGGTGGTATTTTTGTTTTATATATTTGCATATTTATTTTTTTTAATTTGATCTTATAGTACTGTAGCACTGTACTTATAGCACTAATATACGTGGCGTACGAAAAATTAAAAATTAAAATTTAATTCTTGCATATTTTGACATTGTATTTTTATTCTTTTTTAATAGGTATATAATATACCATTAGTATTATAATACAATATGTTTTTCGTTAATTATTTATTAACATATTTTGTGATAATAATTAACAACTCAAATATTTTTTTAATAATATACATGTTTATTTCATATTTTTATTTATATATTAATATTACTTTGTTTTTTATTCGCATAACTCTTAAAACAAAAAATGCCTTCTAATAATATTGTAAGATATATTAAAAACTACATTTTTTTGTTATTTTTATTTCACCTCATTTTTTATGCAATATCTACTAATATGGTTTTTTTATTACTTATAAACATAATCCCTAGCTGTGTATTAATTATAATAATCATGTACTACACTGTCCAATTTTGTAAATAAAAATAGGAGCTGATTGAGACATAAATTGCGACTGTCAAACGACTCAAATGTATGATAAATAAATTGATGGAAATAAAACTAAAATATTGTACGTTTGTCCATCTTCTGTACAGGTAAATACTTTATGGACTTTCAAATGCCGTCCGATCTGAGGTACTTGTGGCGTTACATGTTACACATGTATCAGCTGGACGCGTTCACCCAAAGCTGTCCGGCCGACCAAGACATCGTCAACCATTACAAACAACAGCAGGTCTGTAATAACATGCGACCTGCAGGCCGACGTCCTAGTCTCCCGACACTAATTTTTTAAATTTTTTTTTTATCAATAACAAAGCTTACAACTATATTGGGTCATTAGCCTACGTTTACATTAATTATATACTTATAACATACATTATACATTTTCTTACAGTTATTTCCATTATGTTGTATCTTAATATTATATTTTGGTGTCACTATCGAATATTATAATATATATTAACCATATTATAATATATGGATGTCTTATATACCTTAATATTATTTTCGTCGGGCCGTATGTGTGTGTTTAATGTATACAAGTGTAGAATAAAACTGGTGTGCAAACATTATATCTTAAGCTATCCATAATTTATTACCAGAATTTTACCCTAAAAAATATAGATATAGACGAGATACAGTGTTTTATGGATTTTATGTAGTTGATGTTTTATAATGTATATATCAATCCCAATTATAATCCGGTGATACTAAAAAATGCGATTTGATAATAAAATTTAGTTCTTGTTTATTTGTTTTTCAAATTAAGTAGCTATTTAATTAAATAGTCGATTGATTTTCAATAAAATGCTCGTGCTCGTGTTTCATTAGTTTTTTTCTATCTTACTACTTATCTTACCGAATAGAACACTACTTTAAAAATATAAATGCCTACAGTTAATTCTAAATTACATTTGTTAAGTAATGGGTTATTATAATATTATATTATTATTAATTATTATTCATTAATCAAAGATATCGTTTGTACTAAAGTAAATTTTAATCCAAAACAAAAACATGGATAAATAACAAAACGCTAAATACAAATCATTTCTTTGAAAATTGAAATGTATAAAATAGATATCAACTATGCAGCATTAAAACTATAATCTTTTTTTTTAATTTTATGATTGAACATTATTAAAATTATTGTAATAATTATTATTTCTTACAATCACACAAAGTAAAATATAATATAAAAAAAATATTTGTGAAACACTTTGTAGTACTTATCTATTTAAAAGAAAAATACAAAATATTCAATGGACAAATTATTACTGAAACGTTCATCCGTTATAACTTCTGAACCGAATAACTTTCAAAGCTTATGAAATTTGAAAATGTTGTTGAGTATAATTTGTTTTTCGGCTTAAAAACATTTAATTATCCAAGAAATTTCGTGATAATACCTACGTACACTAAATACCTTCATCTATTAATTATAATGCATTAGATTATTATTTAATAACAGTTATAAATAATTGTAACGATCAATGATAAAAATATAGTATGTAAAAACGTAAAATATATCAGATATATAATAATATTTAATTAGGGTATTAATTATAATATGCCATTCGGAGGACTGGGACCACGCTTATACCGGTCGCCTCCGCTTTTACCACCGCTCATTCTAATTATACGATTTTTTGATAGAATCTCATGTTACAGAATGTCAAGATGAAGAAACACGAGGAACTTGAGACGCCAACGTTCACCACGTCCATACCGGTGGAGCTTGACTTGCAACAAGACGAATAATGGCGCGAGTATGGTACGTACGTGCGATAATACCAATCTATGTACGGCTATATATTATATATGTGTATATATACATACTACAAAGTGATGTAACACGACGATTTTATATCCTTGTCATCCGCAGCTGCAGTGCATAATATATTGTACATTTATACGAATAAAAACATATTGTAGTACGTCACGATGACATCACCACGCGGTAGACAACAATATTTCCGTTAAATATTTTATGTATAATGTACAGAGTGAACTGTAGCTGCAATATACATTATAATATTATTATTATTATCAGTGGGTGTACCTGCGATTTATTTCTTCTTTCGGTTTTATTTTTTTTTCTCATATTTTTCTAATCTATCTACGGTATTATGATATACTATAACATACACGCTCGTGTACTACTCCTCTTGTTAATTTATTCGTAATAATATATACATATATTTTGTAATATGTATTATACTATATTTTTATTAATATTATCCAACTAAACCGAGTTATTACATATAATATTATATATCATTATATTAACCAACTATTTATAGTATAATACGTACCTATATTTATAATATTATTGTCGTGCCCATCTACATAATAATATTATGTACATTTCCATTAAAATATATATATAATATATATTATGTAAAAAATTATTTTTGTCAATAGTGCCTTGAGATTATTCTAGTTATAATATTATTTAATATTCAAAATTGTATTTAGTATTATTTTTCGATATACTCTAATAAACTTAATATTTATTTAAACCGGTCGTATATTCGTATATTTGATATCATTTCTTCGCTCCACGACTTTTTTACAAACGGCGTAACAGGTGTTGGCGTGTTTTAACGGTATTGTATAGTATTCACAATGTCATGTCATGAATCCATTTGTGTGTTGTGCCTACAGTTGTACGACAAAAACTATAGCACGTAAGTAAAAAAATGAAATGTGAAAAAGAAAATGCAAAAAATAAAATTTAGGAGACGAGTCTTTAAAGTCTTTGCGGGATTATAGCCTTCATATATTTCATGTTTAACCATTTATTTTACGCCAATAGGCCATGTTTAATTTAGTTTTACTGACTTACAACGTGTATCAGAAAACTAAAATTTAGATGATGATTATTATTATAAATTTATAATGTTTTTAATAACTTTGAATGCATAACATATTCCGTGGTGTCATGTAATGTATTTGTGTATTTATTTATCTTGTGTAGGTCAACATTTTTAATTATTGAATTTATTTGAATGCATAATATAAGCAGTGCATTTTTCAGGAAAATATTTGCTCGAGGAAATCTTTTCCATTTACCTTTCAGATTTATTGACCCATCTATGACTGTATATACTTAACCGGCGGATTCTAAAACTTCTTTATTGCTAACTAAGCTAGTCGCTTTTTCCTCTTTCCTTTTTAACCATTTATTTAATTATTCCAATTCTTCCCAAGTATTAAAATAATTGTTTGCTAACATTGAATTTAAAGTGTTTTCCCTATCTTCTTACGTTCTTCTTTTGACTCTCTCACAAATAATTTTATTTCTCGTTTTAAGAAATTTTCTAAAATTATCAGCTTAGAATTTAATGATAAATGCGAATTATTAAAATATTAAGATGACAAAATCTGATTTAACGCCTTTTTATATTTGCGTACAGAAGTTGTTTAATAACATTTTAACATATAGATTATACATAAATGTGTGTATTGTGTATACACAAGTCGTTAATATACATTGGCCTATTATATATAAGTGATATGAGCCACAGAGTAAATACTTGTAAAAATCAATTGATTCGCCTAATAATATAATGTGCGACTGAGCAGGTAAGAATAATTTAAATCATACAACAAAAAACTAAAAAAAAATTTTAAATGTCAAATGTATAAATATCTCCAAAAAAAAAATATATACATATTTAAAACATAAGAAAATGGTAATAGAAACAATTGGTAAACATTTTAAGCAATTGTGGTTATTTGTTTTTTTAATTAATCTAAAAAAAAAAAAAAAACAATTTTGTCAAAACTTGTTTTTCATCAAATTTCTAATTATTTCTCGTTTTTTGCTTTAAATACTGAGCACTCCGCTAAATTTTCTGATTTTACAATGATGTTTATTTTATCTATTCTATTATTATTTTTTGAAACAGTAAAAATGTTTTAATTTTTAATAAATGGAGGTAATTTTGGTAAAAATTGAATCTAGTTTATACTTTAGAGGATTAAGGCTATTTAATTTTTTTTTTTTAATCGTAAAAAAACGAAAGAAAAAAAGAAAAACTGAAATTTTCACGTGAAACTAATTTTTGACAAAATTGATTTAATTTTTTTGGTATAAATTAATAAGGAATAACCTGAATACTTGACATTTTTATCATTTTTTATACCTGATACAATTTTCAAAATACTTTAACTTTTTTGAACTATTTATATAGACATGAGATACGTTCAATAAATGACGTGTAATAGCTACATAAAAAAAGAATATCATGATACATACTTAGTGACGTTACAGACCGTCTCCAATCTAAACGACTGAACTAACTAAACGAATTTGTGCACTTGAGAAGTCTATAAAATATTAAGAATTAACTTTTCTATATCAAACCTATTTTCTTAAATGATTGTAAAATAAAAATAAACTGTTAGGTATTAAATATAGCTTAAACTAACTTATAAAAGTGATTTTAAATGTTGACTCCTACGTTCTAATCGACTATTTTAGATGGTATTTTTCATATGTAATTTATAAGTTATAAAGATACATCATATAGAAGTACCTATTGTGTTTTCGATTATTGAAATACTGACGATTGCTACCGACACTTCATTTTATTTCCATTCTAAAAACTGTAAGTATGACGCATATTTTCTTTTTTTCTATTTTATTTGTAATAAGGCTAAAAGAAAAATAACTTTGTGATTTGTGAGGCTTTTAGGAAGTCATACAGCTAAAATGTATTATTTTTATTCAATATTATTTAAAATATAGACTATTATAAAAATGGGAAGTAAAAATCTATGGTTATAAATCTAGTGGCTTATTTTGGGTAGATGTTCTCCGTGTCTGAACATTTTCTGATTAAAAAAATAAATAGTCCAATGTATTTGTATTTTACTCATGTCTATCAAAATATTGATATCCAAACTGCAAAAGCAAAATTAATTTTATTAGAAACTACAGCACATTTCAAGCATTATTTTTAAACTAAGTTTACAATTTGGAATTTTCAGGAATTATTCGAATTTCACCGTGTTTTTAAGGGTAGATATATTGGACACCGCCAGAAAAATTGACAAAATACGCCACTGCATAAGTCATGACTTAGGAATGAAAATAGAATAAAGTTTACTATTTAAAATAGTGCACACTATAAATCATTTTATTTAAAAATGTATGTTTGTGTATAATTTTTTTTTAGTATAAAATAAAGTATTGTGATTTGTGAACAAGATTGAGGTAAAAACCCCCATAACTTAAGTCACTAAAACATCAATTATATTTGTACAGTTAAAAAAAATCATAAATATAAATCTGATACAATGATATATCATTAAATTCAAATTTAACTCACCCACAATTATGACCCACTCAACAACGGCCAATACACAACAAAACGATATCCACCTTTTTTCTGATTATTTTGAAATGTGCTGAGAATTTGGTCACTCAAAGTAAACTAGATTCAGTTTTCACCAGAAACCAGACGAAGTCAAATTAAAGCATTTTCCTACTAGAACATACGCTTCGCTCAACAAGTTGAAAATTTTAAATACCTACAAATAGCTTAAAAAGATCGAAAATATTTTAAAAACAATAATATTGTGTTTGTATAGCGCTATTATTATTATACATCAAATATATTTATTGTTCACTTTAGAGTTAAAACAAAAAACGAAGTTAATTTTATCAGAAACAGATGATTGCGTGTTGCTTAATAGGTGTTTCGGTTTTAAACCATTCTTGTTGTTAATTGTTTAATATTAGATTGAATTTACCTATTATTAAACTATAAAATAAGAATATTAACGAAAATCGCACGTCGACTTTTATACGATATTTCGATATTTTTACAAATTCTGAGTGTGTAAGATATTACAATATTTAAAATTTAAAAACGATTATTATATACGAACAATTGATATTAGATCAATTCACTTTAATATTAAAGCTAACAACAGAGAATTGATTCAGCTGAACTCCACCCATGTTTCACGCGGAAAATAATTAGACTTACACTGCAGAGCGCTGACAACACGTTAATGTAATATAATCTAAATTTGTGTTATCATTAACGATTAATAATTCTTTGGTTTTAACCAATACTATATTTCCTCGTCGTTTCCATTTGGTGTTGTTGATGGATTTTTACCAGGCGCGGAATCAGGAGGAGGGTGACTGGTGAATAGGGCACCCCTATTAGCCATATCAAAATGTGTTGTTTAATTTGGTGTGTATCAAATGTTTGTAATAGTCTGTGCTATCCTATGTTAATATTAAATTGTTATACACTATTATATTACTATTCAAAGTCACAAGTCTTTTATTTTGTTAATGTAAATGAATAAATTGTCGCTGACAATATCATTATAGTGACTAAACGTCAAGCGACGACGACCGCGGTCGACTGCCAACCGAAAGGGATTTTTTCTGAAAATATCTTCCACGTTCGTCTAAAATATATCTACGTTTATAGCTTATCAGTTCACGAAAGCCGCGTAATACAATAGAATCCGTTTTAGACGCTCTCGCATAATACGATTTCTTGCGTAATACTCGTACGCTCATTTTCACGAGTCCCTTGATTTTGATAGCGGTTAACATGTAAATAACTCTGGATAATACGCTTTGTGTTCCCGGATTAGACGCTTTATGTCAATGATGTTATGCAAAATAAATTAATGACCACAATAATGTACAATATGATTATTGATTCAATAAGGCGCCGCAACTTAGTATACACAATGATGTGTACTTAGGTACCAAGCGATAAGAATGAGCTTTTAATGTACACTACTAATCAATTCGCACTCGTTATCACCCCGCAACAATTGCACTTGATTGTGTACACGAACTAAGAAGATTAATTATTCATAATTGCATATTCTTCTGACATTGCAGATGAAATACTACAAAATCTTGATAAAGTTTTAAGCTTCCTTTACTCAAAAAATATAAAAATGCAAAATTGCAAAACAAACAAAAATTGATAATTTTTTTAATGTAAAATAAAGTAAGTAATTTACAAATTATAGGTATACACGTAAATGTAAATTATAGATAATGTGTAATTTGAAATAGGTAATAAAAATGTAATTTGATGATAAGTATGTATTAGTTAGTATACCATACTGTCTTGGGTAATAATAATACAATATAAATGCAATTATAAAAAAAAATTCAAAATTGTATGTACAATTTTTATTTGTCAATTTTCTGGTTTTCCCACGTACCTAATACGATTTCTCGTTTAACACGTTATTTTTACCTAGCCCCTTGGAAAGCGTTTTAAACAAAATCTACTTTAGTAAAATTGTGTTGACTGTCGACCACGGAATACACATAATGCTGTCAACAATTTGTCACTCGACAACCGTCAATATACACATATTACGATACTTATTTATAATCCACCCCTCCCGTTAATGTAGGCAGGATCCTAGGTTTATAGGTGATATTTATTATATTTATATAATTTTTTATACTTATTTATTTATTTTTTGTTATCTATAAACTTTGGGCTGGATCCGCTACTGGTGTTTACAACCTCCCTCCGCTAACAAAAACAGGTACAGATCCAAGTAGTAACGAAAATTTATCAAAAATTTTTAAGAAAAATTAAAGCTTGGCCTCCCACCATCGGGTTATTTTGGCATGTCCGTCCCTCCCGTCAAGTTTGACTTTGAAAGTTTGAAATAGTGTCTATGATGAGTATGATGGTAATATCGTTCTTCTTTTAGAACTGGCTACCGCGGATACATGCTTAAATATTACTTCTCCACAGTGGTATGTACTTAATAATAACAGTGTATAACAAAAATCACCACGACCTTTTGAATCAATTTCCGGATAGTAGTCGGACACACCTATATAGTTGCATGCATTTATTAATGCAGCATCAGCAAATAAAATTAATACAATTTTAATCATCGATAAAAACATTGGTTTTATTTGGGTTACAAATAAATAATAACGTATAATGCACATGTTAAAATAATATAATGGATTAAAAATATTAAAATAACAAAATATATGTATAGAATATTACAATTATTTTAATTGTTTACCGTCTACTTGTATATTATACAATTTATATATATTTGTGATATATACATTATTACTAAGCACATTTATATATTTATGTATTTAACAGTAAGCTTTGAGTTCAAAATTTACATTGATATTTATTGTTCTCTTGCATTCATTGTATATACATACACACACAAACACACATGTATACACAAACATAAATTTTGTTTTAACATTTAAACTTGTTAAAAAAATATAAATAAATAAGAGGAATAAACAAAATAAACAATATACATTACTATGAAAAATTGTTATGAATACTAATTTTAATGTAACTAAAACATATTGAGTATTGGGGTAATAATAAGCACTTTGAACATACAATCTTGTTGTTGGATAAAAATCACGAAAAGTCCATTGCACGTTATATAGTGTTAAGTAATAATATTATTATTCTTTATTTGATTACTTGTAAAAAATTAAAATACTGTTCAAACCGGACATACTTGCTCTATAGACAGTTACCTAACATAATTTTAACTGAAAACAAATCATTATTCAGCTCATTCAGTAATTAGTTTTATTTTTAGAAATCAAACAGTACATGAATATTGGTATAGAATATGTTAGAAAAAGTTACTTTAATAGATATACTAGATAAATTGACATCATTATTGATGTGTGTTTAACTATCATCTATTGAAATTATTTTATTCAATAAGATTATGTAATTTGTGCATCAATGTAGAGTTCTATTTACAGAAAACAATTAAAATAATTTTAAAGTGAATTTGAAAAACTAATAATTGAGCAAAATTGAGCATTTTCTCTTAATCACCAGACCATAAATAAAAATTTGTTTTAATGGAATCTAATAACAAAACAATACATAAAAATAAATAAATTAAATTATTACTAAAAATGTATGGAAATTATGGAACTTTTGATAAATATTGCACACAAAAAAAATAATGCAAGTCATTGCTACTGCAATTTGAAAACATTTTACTCTTGCTCAACATTACAGTATATTATATTTAATATACTAGTTTATTAATTAAGTAGTTGGATAATTAATATATTTTATCCTATTAAAATTCGGAAATGAAAGTCACAAATTAAAAATAATTCAAAACACTAATAATATTAAATTAGTTGTTTATTAGTAATTATTACACCATTATATCAAATATAATGCTTAGATAATCTAATACAATACACTAACTATATTATTATTATTATTAATTAATACAATTATACACAGTAATTATTTGAGATGATTAATCCTCATTTTATCAAACGAAATATAAATAAATATACTCTATTGTGTATAATTATAAAATTGATATTATTTGGCACTAAAATGTGTACGTTGTTTGGAAAATATAGGAATACGAGTTGCAAATTTATTAACTATTATTATTATACAAATGCATTATCTCCTGGAATTGATATTGATAACTTTGGGGCTATTTTTTATATTATTATATATATTATATACATTATACAATTTAATGTTTCTATGATAAACTCCAAAGTATAATATTCAATAATAATTTAATGTTTATGCATATAAAAATATAACAACAGATAGATTAGCAAATAAATTCTACTGCTGAAAAAATAATTTATTTAGTTTACTATTCGCTTTTAAATAGAATATTGTTCATTATCAGATATACATTGCTTAGTAAATAGAATCGTTGGTTACAACATAATGAAATATTTCAATTTATCTCAAACGCACATACACTCAAAAAACAAAAGAAATGAGCTGATGAAACTTAAAATATTGGTAGACAATGACAAGGAATGTTTGTTAAAATTACTGATTAATATTATTTTAAATTATTTACTAAGCACAAGTCTCTTCAGCCCAGCCGTCACTGTCATATTCACTGCCTGATGCAGAATCGGAATCAGAAATTTCAACAGCTACACGACGTGCTAATATTGAAGCAACATCATGTAATGCATTGCTACGCTCTCCTTCTTTTTGTTTTATTTTTTCTACTTTTCTCAGCTCAACACCTTAACATATAATATATATTTTTTGATTAATAAGAAATATTTAAATCATTGATGTAGAGCAATATCGTGTAAATAAATCAATATTAATATCTCACCGTCTCTAATAGCCTTAAGCAAATCACTACGTGGATCATAATGAGCAACATGACCTGGCCCAGGTGTTTTTTTCAATGCACTAACAGTGCCACTACTGATATTGGTTACAGTTGTTTTTAAATCATTAATAACACCATTTAGTGGTCTCACATTATTACAGTCAGCAGGAAGTATCAATGGTTTTGAATGAATTATAAGATTGGATGGAGACTTCTACGCAAATCATGAAAATAATAAATAATACAATTATTTAACATCATAAACAATTTTAATTTTTTTTAAGTATTTACTTGTTTTGGTGGTGATTTTACATCACCATTGGCTAATGATGCTGGTGGATCAGGCATTGGCGGTAAAGGTGGAGGAGGTGGAATGTTAGCTGAAGGTAAAGGAGGACTAATAGATACAGGTGGTGGTGGTGGTGGTAAAGGTTCAGTAAAAGGTAAATTGTTTTCAATTGGAGGAGGTGGCGGAGGTGGTAATGTTTCACGATTGGAACTCAAACTGCGACCACGAGTTGGAGTGCTGGCTGATGATACAGTGGGTGTACTAAATTGAAAAATAATGTTACATTTATATTAGTCAAAATTATAATAAAATATTAAGAATAGTCAAAACTATATTTCACTTACCTGTTATTTGAATTATTATTGCTTGGAGGAGCAGGGGGTGGTTGAGATGGTCTAATTCTACCTCCCCGACTAGGTGTTCCCAATGGACTAATTACTTCACCCATACTACCCGTATACTGGTAATTATTTTGTTGCGTTTGATGATTGTATAAGTTTGATTCATCATACATCATACTATTGCTACCGAGTGGTGCAGCGTAGTTATTGCTAAAAAGTAAAATATTTCAATTCAAAAATTTTTTCAATATAAGATATGTACTTTAAAAAAATTATGTTAATTTACCTATCAATTATATTCATAGGGGGAGGACTATAAATACGTCCATCTACCATGTTATTTCCTGTGTGATGATTATGTAGTTGCTCTGGACCGTAAGATCGACGTAACTCTATACTATTTGGTCGTGATGGTCGGTGTTGATCATTCATTGATAAGCCCAACATCATTGTGCTTTCTTCCATGTATTCATAAGGCTTAAAAATATATAAGCAATTTAAAATTATAAGCTACTTAGTAGTTTAAAATATGTTAATAAATCAATAAAAAATATTTTTAAATATAGATGTCAGACGTTGAAAATTAAATATTTATTTTTAATTATTTAAAAATATGAAATGTATACCTGATGTGGTGCCCTATAATGAGAGTTATCTTGAGGCATAATATACTCTCCATGCTGAGTAGCAAGTTGTCTTTGTCGTTCTCTCGTACTATATGGTTGTCGGACTCTTTTTTTATGACGACCACCACTCCCTTCTGCTTTGGGTCTATGAGGCTATTGAATTGAAAAAATCAAGTTAATTAACTAAGTTTACGATGTACTTCATTAGTGGGAATAACCAAAATTTAAGAAAATACCTTTTTTCCACGATCATGCATCATTTTTTCAGTGTCTTTTAACATTTCTAACCTCCATAAATTGAAAAAGTAATCTGGATCTGTATAGAACTTCATTCCATCTTTACCATCCTCTCTATATGTATAAATATAAAAAAAAACCTTTATTCCAATACTTCATGTTTATTATTTTTTTTTAATTACCGATAAGGATTGAGTTTATAAAGAGGAGGAGGTTTATCACATTGAGAATACATTTCAAGCATTGGCGCAGGCATTGTATCCCTTGAAAGAACTTGTTGATCAAATACAATAGCACTTTTGAAAGCTTTTCTCATATGAATGTCTTGTAAGGATACTATAACAATAATTTACATTAAGTATTTAATTTAAAGATAATTTACATGACATAGTATATGAATGAATTTAAATTTAAATAAAGTAGATTTTAATTACCTTCTTCGCCAGTACTATCTAATTGTTTTGTGTTGACAGACAATCTATCTAACCTAATTTGTAATGAATTAACTCGTACAGTAAGTGAATGGGCTTCACGTACAAGTTCGCCAAACATATCTTCAGCTTGTTTAGATAAGCTTGACAACTGACGTACTGTATTAGCAAGGGTGCCATTTGTGACAGCTTCTAACTCATTAGATATTGAACTCGTAGCACCATAACTTCCTGCTTGTGAGACTGTGTTACGTGCTACATGCACAGGTTCTACAACACGCTTTGGCAATGGCATAGTTTATGTATACTGAAAAATAAAGACAATATAATTATGAAATAATTTAATTATTTTTACAAATAGATAAATAAAAAATTTTAGATTAAATAAATATATGAAAATTGAATTAAGAGTAAAGTAAATATAAGTATATTTTATTTTGTTGCATTATATTTCTGCCATTTTCTTGCTAAAAATGTATAATTTCAAGCTCCCCATGTTTTTAATCAATTACAATTAGATAAGTACCTACTATGTAGTTGATTATTATTATGACATCGCCCAACTAGCAATGAGGGTCAATTTAAACATTAATTTGTTTCATTGATACATATAGGGGGCTCATTGAAATATGTTTGTTACATTCAAAAATATAACATATAATACAATCCTGCTTTTAGCATTTTCTACCTTACTATTATATCAATAGCAAATTAATAAATTTAATTATATTTATATAATATAAAATATATATATATATATATATATATATATATAAAATATAGGATAATAAAATTAAGATTTCCAAATGTTATTAAATAATTTCCTATTACCTACCAAAATTATAACTTAAAATAAATTAGGTACCCATTTAATAGTTTAGGTAAGGGTTTAAGTATTTGTTTTAATAATTAATTTAATTAAATCTTTAATATTTCATTAAAACTATAAGAGAGGTAAATTGTCTAAACATGATATGTTTCTGAAATCTTATTACTCCCACTTACCAAAAAAAAAAAAAATTAATTATAATCTAACACTTGTGTTATAATCATACTCTATACATGTAAAACGTACATATAATTTCCATATAATACACTACCTACACAATATAGACATATAAATTTAATCTATATACATTATAATATAAATATTTAATAAATAATTTGTTTATGAATAGACATTGTTTTAGTTATTCATTATTCATATCTCTAGTTTTGGCAATTTTTTTATAATAATAATTTTAACTAACTTTACCTAACAAAATATTAAAATTAAAAAAAGAGATGATAACTAATGAAATTTATTTTAATATTTTATTATTAATGTGCAAGTATGTGAATTTATATTTATTTCACAAACCTATGACTCTAATGTAGTTTTGTTTTTTTAAAGTCAATATATATATAAAGTTTATTATTTTTAATACTAATCACTTTTATAAACCAGCTTAATATTATTATTTCATTATAGCTACAATAAATAATCTTAAAATTATAATTTTATTAACTTTTATATTCATAATATCTCAATTAAACAGAGACAAGTATAAAATAAGCTTGATTTATACCTATTAATGATTATTTATTATAATATAATATAATCAATAATTATTAAAATACTCAGCATAAATAGCAATTATTAATTTAGTAAAAAACAAGAAGAACAATTACTTATCAAAACCTAATAAAATGAGAGCTACTAAGAAACGACCTTATTTAACAAATATAACCTATACATAAATGATAAGCCTAAAAATAATATTCATCCACATTAAATTATTTAAGAGAACGGATTATTAATGACTGATAATACTTAAAATATTTATCATAACAAACTAAATTATTATGATTAATATAAGTATTACCAATATGCATTATTCTTTACATAACTGTACAAAAATTGTTAGTTCTCAGGATAATATAAGCCGAATTGTTCACATAATAACTACTTTCTGTTAGATAAAATAGAATAATAACTATAAAAATTATTTTGTTGATAAAAACCAGATTAATTTATTCTATTTAGTATAGTCATTATACATATCAGCTACATAGTTTTACTGATAAGCATGACACAATATCTACTAAATACTTATATGTCAAAAATTAAAATGGGAATGAGATCATACAACTATAACAAACATTTCATAGTTATTTACAAATAATATAAGCAAATATAGGTGGGTCAAGACAAATTAATTTATAACCTAATCAATAATCAATAAAACTGAAATTGTCATCAATCAAAAATGTTTATAACGGGCGTTTCCCATATTGTAAATACAAAAGTTGCACTACAAAGACCTCTAAATGACAGCTAATGTTATGAATTTGTAAGCAATAATAAATTGTTGAAAACATTAATGCTACTGTAAACTACATCAGATTATATTTAACAAAGCATTGATTAAATATAAAAATATCAAGTAGAAAGATTCCAATGACATAGATCAGATGCGTCCTAGTCTAGTACTTTAACAATTATTCAGAATGAGAACTGATGAAAATTTGAATTGGACACATGTTTATCCAGTGAGATTTGTACATTTGAATCTGGTCTGCATACATGACACGTTATGAACAACCTTAGTACAGCGTATGATTAAACAGCCATAGACCTGGACAATACCGAGTGTCTGCACAGGTGTCGTTGATCGGACACGACAGACGGTACATAATATATAAAATGCATAATATGACATGTATATATTACACACGTATGTATGGAAAATTGTACGTCCCATTTAGACCATACGCCCAACGAAAAGACAGCAACGAGAAACATAAATAGTAATGAGATAGGTGTGTATACACACGACGCAAATGTGTTGTTGTCAGTGGCACGTCCACTCACCTCAGTGGTCATTTAACAACGATCCGATTCCGGTGACGCCAAGTGTTTGGGGTGCCCGACGTCCGTCACCGCGGGAACAACGCCATGTCGACGGGTCAGACGCATCAGACATCGACGGCACGGACGCACGATACGTGCGAGAACGAATTACGAAACGGGCGGCGGAAATTCGTGGCGCGCGATAGATAAACAACACGGTGGCTCAAGGACTGGCGTGTAGAGGCGGAGAAAACGTTCGATAGTCGATACCATCGATTATCAGTCGCGCTGGTGTTGTCCGGGAGCGACAGGATCGTAGTACCAACAAATGGCGTACGGTAAATAACAATATATTATATCGCCGCCCTACCAGCGACTCGTGGAAGAAAAAATGCGCACCAACTTGTTTGGATAATATAATCACGAATCGTGATAGACCGCTCGACAGTCGACATGCCAAATGCCAATATTATTTTCAATGATATTATTATTCATTATAGTATTTATTACTATTATAGCCTATAGGTAGAATAGTGAATACCCTGATACTCGTTTAAAAATAAAAAGATATAATACGTCTTTTAAATTTTTTGAAAAGAAAACTGAATCAAAAAAAAAAAGTTAGTACGCTTGTGTAGAATAAAATAATATAACAAATATATCTTTATGTAATATTAATGAATCCATAAAACTAATTCTTGATAAGCATAATATCTACCTAATACAAATATAGGTACCACCTACCTAATGGCTAATGCATGTGCGTTAATGATTTGTTTCAGATAGTTTGTAGATTATTTAATATTTACCACATACAAAACAACTATGTCGCGTACCTATTTAGATCCAGGCATACATATCAAAATTATTCAAAAATCTAACAGATATCTTAAAATTTAAGAAAATTAGAGCAATGAATCAGGCATTTATAAAATAGGTATTTAATTGGGTTACCCTTACTAATAGTTTTATGGGAAATACCTACTAAAAAAACAACTGTATAATCTAGACCCATTAAAAAGTATCTATACATTATAAAAAAGTGACCAAATAGCTCTAATGTATAGGTAATAGATGTTTATAAAGTGGGTCACTGTTATAGATATGTCAATGTGTCATTTTGTTAAATTTTTTATTTAATTATTTATCATTGTAAAATTTGTGCAAATAGAAGATTAAATAGAGAAAATTAGTCGATAGTACCTACGATAAAAATGCTACTTAACAAAAAAAAATTCCATGAAAAGTTAAAAAGTTTTAAATATGCATTAAAAAGTGTACAGAAAATTCGATTTTGTTTTAAAAAAGTTAAATTGACATAACTAAAAATATAAGAGTTGCAATCCTAATAAAGGATTTTTCACATATTCTATCATAATATATGACGCCAGTCAATAAATTGGTAGCTCAAAAATAGTATAAATATTTTGAAAACTACTTATCGCACGTACCTACCTATAGAAAATGATTAGGTATAAAAATATTTTTTCAAGTAAATTTCTATAACTATTTGTTTTTAAATAATACATTAATACCATAGTAAAAAAATACATTTTCTCAAAAATTTGTTTAGCGTAAAAATTCCTGTTTTCCTTCTATTTTATCTTCGCTTTCTTCAATTATTTTGAAAAGTATTTGAGAAATTTTTGCTTTTGACTTCTAAACTATAAAAAAAATATATCCAATTTTTACCAGAGATCACTGCCAAGTCGAAAATTAAAGCATTTTAATTGCCACAAAAGGTGATGACAGACAAAAAAATCACAAAATATTTTTAAATAAGTATCTATATTCATCGCTCCACTTTGAATCTAAAATTATTCTAAAAAAATACTCAACATATTATCATACCAACTTTAAAATGAATTAATGAATGGACTACTGTCAAGAGTCGTCATTCGTTAACCAGTCTACCTATATCAGTATTCAGTAGGTAAGAAAGTGATGAGTAATTTCGTGCCTAGATTAAAATAACCAAAGGAAATCTCAATCAGTTTTCGTGCTCTTTAATATATTTAGTACTTATTTTAGATTTATATTAATTCTTATTTTTGTTTTCTTAAAAAGTAGTGTTAATAAACATTTAATATAATAAGCAGGTTATTTAAATCAATTAAATAGGTACCTAATGTAAAATATGAATGACAGAATTAAGAAAATAAATAATATTTAAATTACCAAATGAATTTATAATTTTGTAAATAACTATTGCAACTATTGATATACAGGATGAATATATTGATACAACTGTGTAAATGTAAATATAATCATTCTTCAAAAGTCCAAACATTACTAAAACAATTTAGCAAAATAATATTGCATAATAAATTTAAATAAAAAATAATTATTATAGAAAAATAATTTGTCATGATTACATTCAGGATAACATAATAAATGCATTTATGTTAATCTCAACCATTTTTAATAATTTATAATTATATGTATCCAGAAGTTATTTAATTCCAGTCATATTAAAATTTTTATAGTTACCATTTTCAGCTATAGAAACTTTATGTACTATTTCTTAAATTTTAGAATATTTATTTTACACATATTTCCTATTTTATGCTTGTTTATAAGAATATTTCTAAAAAGTACTACATTCCTAGAGTATAGTAAAAATACATTACTGGTTTTTACTATAATATAGTTATTAATTATAGATCATTTAAAAACAGATTATTTTTTTATTTATGTTACCAAAAATTAATACACTAATGAGCATGTTAATTCTAATCAAGTTTTAGTTTAGTTTGAAATAACAAAATAATATGATATTGATGTTTAACATAATAATAATTTACTATAAAATAAAACAAAACAAAACTGATTAGAAAGTAGGGATTAATTTACTCAAATTTATATAAATATGACATTAGTGAGTTTGGAAATTTGCACTTGAAACCCACTGCTATTACATTATAATATAAATGTTTATATTACATGAATAAAATACTTTTTTTTTAATTCTGAATATTATGCGTTGTCTCTAATTTATAATTATATTTACTATCATTCTTATTATTATTGTATAGTTAAAATGTAATCGATTTTAAAAGTAATTAAACATATTTGACAAATTCATAAATAATGAAGCATTGTAAATTAGATTAAAAAAATAAACACAAATCATTCAACCACTTATAATTACATATCTTTAAAATTATTAGAACTTATTCTATTTAATATTAATTATTTGTATTAAATACAATTTGACAAATGAGTTAAATATACAAGTTAACTTTTGAAGTATTTTAGCATTTTTATCAAATAAAAATAAAAATTTATTATGATGTAGTAGAAGGAGGAGACACAAGTATTACACCATCTCCTCTAACAAATAACATAGGTATAGTACGTTTAGTAGTTTTATATACTTCTTCAAATGTTTCTTCATCAACTTCAATTGTAGTAATAGTCTCTTCGGCTTCTCCTAACACCATGTTTAAATGCTGATCAAAAGCCTAAACAAGAAACTTATTTATTTAATTTAAATATATTTATATTACATTAATCAATTAATAATTTATTAAGATAAATTAAAGAAAGACACTGAACTAAAAATTATTTAATTCTACTAGCAAAAAAATAATAATAACAAAAAATTGTAATTAATCATTATTTTAGATTATTTTTAAACTGTACACCGTGATTACTTTATTTCTTAATGTAATATATTTGATAATTACATCTTTTTAAAAATATAATCTAAAAAGATATTAATATTTACATGAAGTCGACCCCGTAGTTCTCGGTCATGGCGCATCTTAACATAAATTCGTTCATCAACACTAAGACGAATTAAATCAACTGGCTCTTTGATCGTCACTAGTGAAACGGGCTGAAATAAATTAAAAAATTATATCAATGCTTACTAAAAAATGTAAATGCTAATTCAGTTAAAATTATTTTACCTCTGATTCTCCTTCTGGCATTTTAGTTACCATAAATACAACTTTTTCAAAATTACTTTCTTAAATAACTGTAAGAAACGTAAGCTCGGTCTTAGATTAAAGGTAACAAAATAACAAATATTAATAATTTAAGAATAATTTTTAATTTTACTTTTTACTGGTGATTGTTGTTAAAAATTGAACAATTGTATTTAAAACAACATAACCTCAATGATAAAATATATTTTGTTTTAGTTTAATAAAAAAATACTAGAGTGCGCTGTTGTTATCTTAATAGTGTCATAAATCATAATAAAGAAGCGCTCGGGCAGTACGTTGCAAACTTGCAAAGTGTTACAATAGTTGCATATTCTCGTTGAGTAATACCGTTGATTATAGAATAAACTGTACTACTATTATTTATACTCTATTCAATAATTAATGGTAATTCAACTAATACTTACATCATATCACAACTTTTAAGCAAGGCACGACATTTATAGCTCTAAAAAGTTACTTTTTACATGTTACATGTAATATGAAAATGGATTTTTGAATTTATAATGGAGCAATTAAGATTCTCATATAGTTAATGAAAAAACATGTTCATCACCATGATACAAGATATTAACCTGTGAAGTAGGTAGGTACATTTCCTATAATTGGTTCAACATATTTATTATTTATTGTAAATATAATAACAAAATTAAAAATCGAAGAAGAATTACTACTACAAGCCAATTTTAACTAATACAAGTCATTTTTAACGACATAAAAAATAATGAAGTATTTCATGAAGTATGTAGAAAAAGAAGTTGATAAACATCTAATAATTAAAAAAATGAACAAAAACAAGGCATATCTACATTGATTTACCACAATAAACATGAGTCGTTTAATAAATCTAAAAATTAAAGCAATAAAAATAATGAAAACAATATTAGAGAATCGATGAAAATTCAAATTTTAGACTTAGATAAAGCACATTCCTGATATGTTTTTGGCTTGATTATCTCAATTAATAACTACATAATATATATTTATAAACTAATATTATCTAAATTCTAAATTATTTACATTTTCAATTTAAAATATATCCCAATGAAAGATAAACTTATGAAATTGACACGAATGCAAAATTAATCACAAATCGATGAAGTACCTACAGAATAATTCAATTTTATTGACGGACTTTGCAATACTGAATGCCATTCTAGTGAATGATGTATATATTAAAAGGTAATAATAAAATTCTACATAATTTCAATATGATAATTGATAATAATTAATAACTTAATTATTTATTTTTATGGCATCGTGAATTATAATTATTATAGTCGTTTTCATAATATAATAAAATATAATAATACAATTATAATTAATAAGTAATAATAAAATTAATAAAAATATTGCACAAAAAATATTTGTTTGTAATCTCGGTTCAAATTGCCCGAGCAATGTACAGATAGCTCAATATTCCACATTGATCATAATTTATACATAAAAAATTACAACATAATATATTACAATTTTTTTTTTTTTTTTGCTTCTGCATTTGAAAATTATTTAATTATTTAGATTATTTAATGTAATCAGATTGATTATCTGCAAGACATGCATTAAACATTTTCCATACAAATATATACAACTTACCTTAAGATAGTTGAATTTCCTTGTGTTCTAGTTACTACATATTAAACTTATTTATACTGAAAAATGAAGAATAGCGTCTGACGAATGACGACGATGACTGGAGCGGAGGTCTATTATTAATGTATTTAAAAATAGATTTTTATTGATCTATACATTTTACTGATACTAAAATAGTATAAAATTATTTTATTTAAAATTCTTTATAATGGCCAAAAGTAAAATTATTATCAATTTTGATGCTGTAAAAAAAAAATTGTGGTAAAAACCATTGAGAGGCCCTAAAACACTTTTAAGTATAAGACCCGGGACAATGACCCCTCTACCGCTCTTTAATCCAGGCTAATAAATAATAGATAAATAACTACTATATTATAAACTCATTATATTTTGTTTTTATTAGAAAAATTTTGTAAAACAGAAATAAGTTTATGTACATACATTAAATAGGTGCTACTATATATATACTAATTAACTAATTATAAAGGATCTATGATCTATGTTTTATATTCTATATTCTATATCATCTACCATTTTCGAGTTGAAAATTATTGTAAATACCTCTTCTAAATTCTGATTTCTGGCCTTTGGGTGTTCTGACGATAATTAACAAATTATAATTACGTCATTAAAGGTTTTGCAACTATTATAATAAATAATAATTAATATGTATATACAGTGTAGCAGGTATAACACATATATAAGGTTATTGTATAGGTACCAATGTAATAATTTTGAATGTATTTATATACCTAATGATATGTTAATACATTATGTGTTAATTATTAATTTTTTAAAACAGAATTTGAAAATTACAAAGTTGTATGTTAAATTTGATCTACTATTCTGCTATGTTACATTGGTATTTTGTAATTACTTATAATAAAATAATGGTCATTATTATAATTTTATGGAAATAATAAAATTTATATTGTAAATTATAGCACTTATAAAAATTAAATAATTTGGTGTGGTTCAGTAGTGCAGCGAGTGATATATTAACTGCGAGCAAATACATATGTTTATACCCCCCCCCCCCCATTAATAAAAGTATTGAGTGCTAACATTTTTTCCAAGTGTCAACTTTTATTATTAAACAATATCTATTCAATATTTCGATTTATCTTTTGGTTTGCCCAAAGTGTCTTGCGTTCTCTTTTCTTTTGCATTACTAAAAATACAGTATACAGAATTGTTGGTCCACAAAATATATTGTGGTGTCAGGTAAGGGGGTTCTCCCTCAAAATTTGACAAGGGAAATTGCCCGTTTGAGACGTATATGAATATGTTCACCACACCATTGGTCTAGTTTAAAAATTGAGATAAACGAACTACTGGATAAAGGATCATGGGCAATCATTGGGGAGAGAAGATGCGGTACTTGCCTCATCCCAGAAAAAATAATATGGACTTATAATTTTATAAATATACCATAATATTACCTAATAACCTAGATAGCATAAGATAAATTTTTTTCTTGATCACTATAAAGATGTAAAATACGTGTAATTACGATATAGTTATCGTATTAACAACCTAAATGATAAAAACATACGTAAGATTATTATTGATCACAAATAATTTGTGTTAAAACTATAAACATTAAATACACATATTTTATCAGATAACACTTAATGTTCCATTTGCTCAAATTTCTAATGAACGTGTTACTATAATATTATTTACGAGTTCATAACTGATTACAAAATATATGCACCTTTCAATCTTTGTACGCAGTGTACTGAATGTTAGTCTTCTGTCGTTCAAATAAGTATATAACATTAGTGAATCCCGGCTGTTCGTTGATTGTTTTTATAATCATAAATATTCAGTCATTTTTTAGAAGAAGAAAACAGTGATGAAAATGGCGCATTTTATATAGTGTTTGAATCACTTACATCAAAAGAATCTAGTGTTTCTACACAAGTTAATTCAAATTCAAATCCATCATACTTTACTACGTCAATAGATACAATACCAAAATTATTTGCTGTGTGAAAATAATTATACGCAAGTATACGCATGTGAGTCATATACTGATTTAACCAATTTAGGGTTTGATATTAATCTCTGTAATGAATTAATAACAATTTGATTGAAATCCAGGGTGAAAAAAATATACTTAATGCTTCTATATAATCATTGCCCCCAACAACGTGCACAATATAAAGATCATTCAATACATTAAGAAGAGTAAAAAGTAAAAACATGACTTCGTTCTACTACCTATATGAAGATGGTTTACATGATAATACACTAATACTCATATATATATATATATATATGGTAAGTGTTCATAGTTAAAGGATGAACATTGAACTTGAATAAAGATATTTTCATTCAGGATGTCATTAATATGTTTATAATGAAACGAAGAAATTTACAGTTTTTATTTAATACGAAACTGAATAATAAATTTGATTACATATACTTGATTTTCTATTGATTTTTTAAGAATTTATTGAATTTAATTTTAATACTAACTTTGAAACAAATTTAGTATACAAACATGACTAATTTATAAAATTATATGTTGACATAACATTAAACCATTATTTAGCTAACACTTGAAAATTATTTTATTTTGCTTTTTCTAAAATTTTACTCATGGGCACCTATGTTTAGGCTTGATAATATTTTAACTAATTATATAAGAGACGAGAGTTATTACTTTTACTATTATTGCAAAATTAACAAAATTATTTAGATTATTTAAGACCTTTAAGGATGTATATATACTTCTATATAAATCCATTCAAAATTCATAAAACAAAATTCTCAAATGTTTATTGTATTATGTTAAATTTAACACAATTAAATGATTTTCGTACATGAATCAAAATAATCGTTTGATAAGTAGTTTAAAATGTATTCTTACAATTTTACAAAAAAAAACCGTTTTTGTAACTGTTTTGTACTATTTTTTTTGTATTTTATTATATAAGATTAAAAACCATACATTTATGATAACTATCATAGTCTGAGACAATTAATTATAATTTAAGTAATTTTAATTAAATTAAAGTTAAGGTCACTTGAAACATTACTATTTTGTTATTTTATCACTTTTTTGCAACTTTCCATGCTCTTTATGCGAAAATCACCTTTATTCGTAATCATCACATTTGCGTCAAATTATTAATATCAACAGAAATACTGAAAAATATTTTAAATATCATCATGGTGTTTACAGACTCGCTCACCTTGGCGCAATCCAGTATGCTATACCTATTAGTTATTATCATTATAATACATTTTAGAACATTAATAAATCATAAAATTTGATAAACAACTTTGTTACGCAGTTTGCAATACCTACGGCAATTTTTACAATATTTTTGAGATCGATCATCGATACCATAATTTTATTATTTTATTAATATTTTCATTTTTTTAATTACTAAGATGACTAGATACATAGTTTAAATTTGTACCAAAGTAACTAACGTTTCTGTCTTTGTCTAATACACGTGGAATATAGATATTTAGACGTTTTCTTTGTTAAGCTTGCAACTGATTTAGTAAAGCGATAAGCAATCTGAAAA